TAATACAGCTCGTATGTGGTTTTTTTTTTTTTAATATTTTTAAATGTTTAAAATTTTTTCGTTTTTTTTTTTCGTCTTTGATTTATCGTAATGTTCATATCTTTGAATTACTATTTATTTCACCTCGGTTTTTGTTATGCAAAAATAATGGCTTGTAGATGCTGTAGTAGCTTGTATTAGCTTGTAGATATGGTAGAGGTGTAATAGTAGAGCGCTCACTTTGTAAGCCAGCAGCTCAAAGTATGATCCCCACCAGGTCTTAGGTAGTACTGTACTCAACTTATACGCGCAGCGGTCTTGGTTGTCAGTCTTGATTCTTTCCGACTAAAAGAGGTGAGAGATAATAATAATAATAATAAAAAGTAGTGTTTAAACTAGTGGAGAAGATGCGTTTGTACAAGGGATAAAAATATCATGAAAAACTCTAGTCGTGGAAATTAAACTCGGTGAGTAATTAGTACTTTCAAGTAAACAAATTTGTTCGCATAACCAATTAACAGAGAATGTTTCCAAAAATAACAATTTTTTATAAAATTTTATTTTTAAATTTGGACTGAATCTAAAAACTAAAAAAAAAAAAAAACTAGAACTATATGGAATAAAGAATAAAAATTTACTTTGGTTTGAAGACTACCTAGCGAACAGGTCACAATGTATTATTTATAATAAAAAAGAAAAAGAAAAACATATTACATGTGGTGTGTCCCAAGGTTCAATCTTAGGGCCATTATTACTTTTATTGTATATAAATGATTTATACTTAGCATCAAATATTTTAAATGTTATATTGTTTGCAGATGACTCCAACCTTTTTTATTCCAACAAAGATATAAAAGCTTTCTTTAATATATTTAATGAAGAACTATTCAAAATAAACGATTTGTTTACAAGCAATAGGCTTTCCTATTGTAATTGTAGAAAAAACTAAATTTATTTTATTTTCCAAACCTAGTAAAGGTGATGATGTTCCTCTAAAATTACCCAATCTCCTAATCAATAAAACATTTATTAAAAGGGAACCAATCGTTTATTTTCTAGGAGTAATAATAGATGAAAATTTGTCATGGAAACCACATATAAAATATATAGAAAATAAAATATCATGAAATATTTATATATTATATTAAACTAAATCATATCTTAACACCTCTTCTCTAAAAAAAATATACTTTTCATTTATTCATAGTTTTATCTCTTTGCAGTAAGAGATGTATGGGGTAGTACTAGCTATGGTAAGTTGAAAAAGCTTCATAGTAAGCAAAAACATGCATGCAGGATTATATTTGGTGCCCACAGAACTTTTCAATGTGAACCTCTTTTAAGGAAGCTCGGTGCCCTTGTGTCTATAAATTTAATATACACCAAGTTCTACAATTCATGTTTAAAACTAAACATGAATTCTCTCCTATTGTATTTCAGTCTTTCTTTAGTGAAATCTCGCACAAGTATCCTACTAAATTTTCAATTAATAACTTTATTGTTCCAAAAACTAATTCAAAACTAAATTCTTACAAAATCCAATACTGCGGACCGTTTCTATGGAAACATTTTTCAAAATTTATCACAAAAAATAATAATGTTCATCACATCTCTTTGGAAAAATTTAGTAATTTAATACTTTTAAATTATTGTTAATCTTTGATATAATGCGTTAAATTTCAACACTAATATTTATATTATGTTATTAGTTATATTGTAACTAACGTATTTAAAATTCTTGTTATGTACTTAGCTACTTCTCATTGTTTATATAACTGACGATTTTTTAGTGTAAATTTTTGTGATGGGGCTTGATGATAAGACAAATTATGTCTTCTGCTTGCTCCAGTTCTATTATTAACACAATTTATTTCATTGTAAATTTTAATAAAAAAATAAAATAAAATAAAAAAAAAACTGATTGTTTCTATAAATGCATCTCTAAAGGTGAGTTTCCACTTATCCGTTTTGATACGGGAACGGGAAAGGGAAGTTTCCACTCATCCGTTTTTAGAAAAACGGATGAGTGGAAACTCATATTAACATTTTTTTTAAATTTGTAACTAACAGTTGGTTAACTGAAAACAAATATGATGTCACAGTTATCAATACAAACCTCACAGTTATCAAGACTAACATTACAACGAAAAAAAGGTTTTGATGCTAATGAAACTTTACTTTTTTTTTTAATTTTATTTAGGTACCTCAAGAAGTCCTTACGGTTTTAACACAGAGCACCGGGGATAAGCATTCAATTGGAGATTTACGCCTCCTTCCTAACTGATAACACAAAACTTGCTCAGAAGTGGGATTTGAACCACGTACCCTTTGTTTCTGAGGCAAGTACGTTACCACTGCGCCCCCCTGCTGCTAACTAAAATAAATTTCTTTACAGACAACTATTTTGACTCTATAAATTTATTTCTTCTCTTTGATTCCTATCCACTCAATTAAATACATCATGATGCAATAAATATGCATTAAATAAACCCTTTAATAGTATTCCTATCCGTGTAGAATACATCACGGAGACGCTTAGAAGAGATAAAAAAAACGTAACCCAGAAGAAATTAAAAATCAAAATTAAAAAAAAAAGGCAATTTAATTTTAAGGTCACAAAATGAAGTTATGATTTGTAAACGGAATGACTAAAGAGATTTGAATATTATATCTAACATAATTTTTTTGAAATACGGTAATATGGTAAAAGTTATTCATTGCCATGCAAATCAAAAAAACAGGCTAAATACTGTCCGCGATTACAATATCTCATAGTCTGGCATTGGTTGAAATGAATAGATGTTTTTCTATTACTCAGGCCTCTATAAAACCTTGAAAAGCAAACATGAGTACGTTATATAAATTTACATTTTATTTTTTGCTTTAATTTTTTTTTATTATTTATATGTTTATACATTTCATATATTTTGTATATATTTATACATTTCAACTTAACTTTTTTAATATTAGATTTTTAGTAATGCGACGGATAATATGCGACGGACAATGTGTGACGTTGTTTTTAAATTAAAGTGCATTTTTTTAAAAGAGAGGTTTGTCCATTTTTTTCAAAATTGAGTTTTTTCAACTTTTGTATTCTTTATTAAAAAAGATACAAATCTAACAAGGTTAGTATGAATAAAAAAATTGTCCATCATCTTTATTTATTATTACAAAATTGAGATTCAAAAAAATGCAGCAATAATGTAGTAATTTGAGTTCTGCAGCCATGATTAAAGTTCTGACTTTAAAACTGGAAATGCGTGGTTTGAAGCGTCACTGCCCATATGTATCATTTGTAAAAAAGGGGGCGTGAACTTCCTGGTTAAACGCTTATCTGCGGTACTCTGTGTCAAGACCGTTAGGACTTCTTGGAATGCCTAAATAGCTAATAAAAAAGAAATTATTAAAAAATATGTATATATTTCTTAATAATCAGTTTTTTTTTTAATTTTTCTCAAAACATGTAAAATCTGACTTTGTTCCTTCGAAAAAAAAATTCAGTGCTTAAACTATTTCTACTCAGTAACGGTGTCTGGTATCTGGTGTATGGTATCAGGTGTCTGTTATCAAGTGTCTGGTATTAGGTGTCTGGTATCAGGTGTCTGGTATCAGGTGTCTGCTATCAGGTGTCTGCTATCAGGTGTCTGCTATCAGGTGTCTGCTATCAGGTGTCTGCTATCATATCTTGAATATACTATTAAGGGGATGTCGGAAAAAAAAATTAAAAAACTGGTTCTCAGAAAATATGTTTCCTTGCTAGAGGATTTAAAGTTTTTTTTTCTGATTTTACCTTCTTTTTTTTTATGTAAGTTTTTATTTTGTTACACAAAAAATTCAAGTAAATAAAATGTTTGTAAAACCAGAAAAGTAATTCACATTCTTATAAAATTCTTTTAGCTTATATTTAAAATCTAAATTATTATTGTTGATTTATATTTTTTGGTTTTTGTTGATAAAATTTGCTTTTTATAATAAGCATAGAAAATAAATAAAACCGGTTTGATTACGTTGCTATAAAAAGCGTATTAAGGCTTAATTATAATTTAATGAATAAAGAGGCTCACAATAGGATTATTACATGCATTTTTATACACTTTTCGAAAATTGTATGCGTTCTTCTGGACGTAAGAGTATAAGATAAACAACTTATTGATTGACCTTATGAGCTTTCTATTTTAAATACGATTAAGCAATGTCGAAATAATCAAAAGATAACAAATATCTGTATTAAAAAAACTAGAAACTACCAATAAAATCAAATGTTTTAGATAGAAACTACCAATAGAGTCAAATATATTTAACTTCACATTTCTTAAAGTAAAATAACTGACATCAAGGGTGAAGGTGGAATTGTATTGTCTATTCAAGGCCTGAGAGTAGACCAATATGATCATGTTAAAATTAATTACAAACATAGATACCTTTTTAAAAATTGATGTGACGTTAGTAAGTAAAAATCGTATATTTGTTGAAGGGCTGTCCGCAAATTACGTCACGCTTTAGGAGGATTGGGGAAGCTTTAGTGGTTTTGTGACGACTCCTACGGAAATTGTTACCAAAGAGTTACGATGTTGTGACACCGCAACTCTCCCTCCTTCTCCCTACCCCCCCCCCCCCCGCCTTAAACGTGAGGGGCATCAAGGTGATAAAATATTTTTTTACTTTTCTCAACTACACTTATGTTCATCAATAAATTTTAAATTGCATTGTATTATCTCCCAGCATTCAAAAATTATGATCATATAAAATTTGTAACCCCTTTCAAATTGATTTGGGTTGAAAATTTGAAACATCATAATTTTTTAACCGCTGAGAGATAATACTATTGTACTTAAAATTTATTGATAAATATAATTGTAGCTGAGAATAATACTAAAATTATTTTATCAACTTGTTGCCTCTCGAAATATAGGTTAACGTTCTTTAGGATGATCCCAAGTAAGATTTTGGCTTTTTAATAAAATGCAGAATTAAGAAGTTTTTCTCAGAAAATGCCGAATTAAGAAGTTCTCTTTCAAATATTTACAATAGTTTTATTGGTCTGCGTTTGGTTAAGTATTTAAAATCTTATTTTGAATCATCCTAAAAAATTTGGCATATAAGCGAGATAAAATGAAAATTAAGGAAATTATAGATATTTTTCAAAATTCTATAAGTTTTACTGATGGTGAACAAAAATTATTAATTGGTAATAATGAAAACGAATTAAGTGGAGTATTAATTTCTTGTGGCGTTAATGATAATGTTATCGAAGAAGCTATTACTAAAAGATGTAATTTGCTTATATGTTTTCAACCCTTTGTTATAAAAACTTTAGAGAAGCTTACTGTTGATAATCTCACTGAACAACTTTTTATAAAAGCAGTGAAAAGCGACTTATCAGTTTATTTTTTTTGTTCAGTGTTTCGTGACTTTAAAAAAAGTACTAAAATTTTATGTAATAAGTTAAGTTTGCAGGACACAAAAGTATTATTACCAGTTCATAAATCCATAAAAAAATTAATTACTTCAACGGTTCCAGAAAATTTGAAGAAATTACGAGAAGCTTTGTTTGAAGCAGGAGCTGGAAAAATTGGTAACTACAGCAATTGCAGTTTTAATACACAAGGCATTGGAACATATATGGGTAACAAATGCAGCAACCCAAATATTGGACAAAAGCTAGAATTTATTGAAGCACAAGAAACAAAAATTGAGGTCTTTTTTGATAATTGCCTACAAAGTAAGGTCTTGCAAGCACTTTTCTCAAACCATGTATATGAGGAAGTGGCCTATGAAATATACAATATTGAAACTACCTTTCAAAATGTTGGCTTTGGATTGATTGGACGGCTTGAAAAACCATTGCCACTACAAGAATTTTTAATATTTTTGAAACAAAGTATGAATTGCAAAAACATTCGTCATTCAACTTTTTGTAAATATATCTCTACAGTAGCTTTTCTTTCTGGTTCGGGAACCTATGCTATTAAAAATGCTATAGAAGCAAAAGCAGATGTTTTTATAACTTCAGATCTTAGTTACCAAGACTACTCTTATGCTAATGGTAAAATAGTTTTAGTTGATATTGGTTATTTTGAAAGCAAAGAGTTCGAGAAAAACTATATATTTGAATCTCTTTTGGAAAATGTTTCTGATTCTGTACAAAAAATAATTTTTTTGTCTGAAGCAGAAATAAGTTTAGTTAGTTGCATGTAACTACTTTATGTGAAAGAATTCTTCTGTCTAAAAGTATTCTGTAAAATAATAAAAATAAAAATGTTTTGTTCTTATTCATCTATCATATTTATAATTGTTTTGAATTTTTATTTATCTGATTAAATCTATTACATATGTTTTATTAGATTATATTACATATAATATATATATATATATATATATATATATATATATATATATATATATACATATATATATATATATATATATATATATATATATATATATATATATATATATATATATGTATATATATATATATATATATATATATATATATATATATATATATATATATATATGTATATATATATATATATATATATATATATGTATATATATATATATATATATATATATATATATATATATATATATATATATATATATATATATATATATATATATATATATATATATATATATATATATATATATATATATATATATATATGTATATATACACACACACACACACACACACACACACACACACACACACACACACACACACACACACACACATATATATATATATATATATATATATATATATATATATATATATATATATATATATATATATATATATATATATATGTATATATATATATATATATAGGCCTCGCGGGAAGCGAGGCTCACACTCCCCTTAAACAGTTTACGGGAGCAATTTACGGCTCTTGCAAAAGTATAATTTTTCTTGTTTTAATTAAAACAAAAAACACAATGTCTTTTATAAAAAAATAATTGCATATTATACTGCAATTCTTTTTAAAAAGCAGGGTTGTTGCAAAAAAAAATTAAAGTTAAAAGAGCGCTGATTTTTCTCTGCTCTCGTGCTCATTTATTCTCGCCGAGGCCTATATATATATATATATATATATATATATATATATATATATATATATATATATATATATATATATATATATATATATATATATATATATATATATATATATATATATATATATATATATATATATATATATATATATGTATATATATATATATATATATATATATATATATGTATATATATATATATATATATATATATATATATATATATATATATATATATATATATATATATGCATTTTGATTTCTTAAATGCGCACACAAAAAAATGAAAAAATTGTTGCTTTAACTTTATATTTATTTGTTCTGAATATCATAATTACTTGATTATTTCATACAATTAATAAATTTAAATGTTTTTAAACATGTAGTCACTTGTAAGGTGCTTATTTATCTTTTTGTCAAATGTCTGGAGGTTTCTTTAATATGTTTGAATACAAAAAAACCTTTGATTCTGTTAATCACTCCATCCTCCTAAGTTAATTGCAACACTACGGTGTTCAAGGTAATACTCTCCAATTATTTTTATTGTATCTTTTTAATAGATTGCAATTTTGTCTCCATTAATGATGCCAAATCTTTTCCAATAAAATGCTCCTCGGATGTACCCCAAGGTTCTGTATTCGGACCATTGCTTTACCTAATTTTTATAAATGATCTTAATAAGAATATGTTTATTTTGAATTTCATTTTAAATTTTTTTATTTCAAAAAGTCTTTATTTATTTAAATCTTTGAGTCCTTTGCTACTCAAAAATGATCATTTAATTTCAAATAAAATCTATTTAAGGTTTGTTTTTTAAATGTTTTTTTTTATTGACTTTTATAGAAATGGATTAATTAAAATTAAAACAATGAAAGTTGTTCTAATGGTAGCTGAAAAACCTTCTCTAGCGCTGTCAATATCAAAAATATTATCTGGTGGAAATATAAATACAAAAAAAGGCAAGTACATTATTTTAAGTTTAGTATTTTTTTTTTTTGCATATTTTATAGATTTTATTTTCTTATAAGTTTCTATTTATAATTTTTACCAAACACTTAGTATTTCTTATTTTTGTATATTTAGCAGTATACAAAAGTATACTTTTAGGTATACAAAGTATTGTCAAAAAATATTGTTAAAAGTATTGTTGATAAAATATGTTTCATAAAAACTTGAGAAACGTCTTTGTATTTGTTGTTGAAAATTTGCTTTTGGTCAATTCTGCTTTGACAATAAATAAAACTAACGAGATTAGTTGTCGTTATATTATGGTTCTATAACATAGGCATTCACAGAAAATTTTTCAAAGAGTAAGTGAAAAAAAAAGTTTGGGTACAAAGTGTCACAATTTATTTTTATTACACACAATTTACATTTATAAAATAAATTAAAGGTTTATCAATTTAAATGGAATTTAAATTGTACTGTACTGAATTCTGTTATTTTCTAATTAAAATGGAATTCTAAGAATGAAGTTTAGATTGTTAAAAGAAATTAGGATGGATCTATATATATATATGCATACTAATGTCTCACTGTGTACCCAAACCATGATCAACCCTAAACTTATGTCCACCAGAAAATCCTTTTGGGGGATGATATATAGTAGAAAATTTAGATATAATCTTGAAAATCAAACTATTACGTCCTAGAAAGATATTTTGATTTTAAATTTTGAAGTTAATAGGCCTAAAAAATTGCAAAATGACAGGGGATTTTGCATTTTTACAGAACTTATTATTCTTTTTTAAAAGTCATTTCATAGTTGTGACAACAAAAGAAACATAAATGTGTATATAAAACAATATTTCTAAATGAAAATATTACATCGAGAAATAATTCTTTAAGATTACAGTACTCTTAATTTAGTTTAAAAAAGACCCTTTCAACTAAAATGAATGCTTGCTGTTGAGGTCTACAACACAATTCAGAAGCTTTTTTTCATATTGGATATATATTGGATTATTCATATGGATGTCTGGGATCATCCAGAATCCAGATCGTTTGTATTGCTGTCAATGTATATTGAAATTGTAATGCAAAGATTCTGTGACCTGTTCAGAAAATACTCCTTGATCTTGTCTGCAAAGTTGGGAGAAAGATTTCCAAAGCAAGAATTCGCAACCTTTTCAAAACAACTGAAAGTTTCAAAAAATGATATGACATTGAATTAAGAGCTTTGTTCAGCCAGATTTTGTAGAACATCTTCAATAGCTTTTGACAATCATTTCTCACTTTGATCAATGGTTCTCCAGTAATATTTCTGACTTTTGAAACATGGTTGACTACATCAGACACATCTTTGCAGTAAACAACAACTCTGGTTAAATCTTTCTTGAATGTGGTTTGAAGTGAACTGTTCTGCAAGAGTCCTTTCAAGTGACTCAAACTTGAAAGAAGTGGCTTGATTTAATGATGATGCAAATTTTTTCATGCCACGATTAGAAAGTCCAGTTTCATTTTAAAACTTGAGCATATCTATAGCTGTTAGCTTTAGATATGCTCAATGGATGACCCTAAGAACTATGCTATTAGACACAAGAGATTAATGCTTATATTTAAAACTGTATCATATCTGGAACAACTGGAAAACTGTTGCCTTCCTTTTCTTTACTGAGATGGATAGTGCCATGAGGAGAAGGAGGTTTGTTTGAGATGACCATAGTTGCAACCATCTCTGTAGCTATTGCATCCAAATTTTGTTGCATGGTTCCTTTTGTACAAATGTGGGGCAACCCTCACCCAATCACAGAAAAAAAGTCTGAATATCTTTTTTCATTGGTTCCTTCATTCTTAGGTTTACTTGCTGACAGTTGATGTGGAATGTTTAGCTAATTTCCGGCAATTTGACAAATCAAAAAATCACAAGGGGATTCTCTGGTAGCTGGTCGAACCGAGATGCTCTTAAAATGGTAATGACTAGGAAGAGGAGGATTTCCACATTCATTTTTTCTTGTGATGGCAACACGACAGCTTTCACAAATATCTGAAGGAATCCTGTTATCAGAAAAATCTAGCTCAACTTTGTGAACTTTCTCAATCAGAAAAGTTATTAGCTCACAATTTCCCTTCTTAAGTCACAAAAAACAAACAGCTTTTCTATTTTCTTTTCGGTCTTTAGCTTTGTTAGGCATTTTTGCAACTTATATGTTCTAGTGCGTTGTGAAAATTGTTTATTTTTTAAAATGCATGCTTTTTCCCAAAAATTAAAAAAAAAAAGGCCACAAAAATAAGACATTATTATTTTAAGCAGTGTCGGATCACGGAGGGAAGGGGGCTATAACCCTGGGGTTCCCAAAAGTCATAAAGGAACCTTTTTTTTTTTTTTAATTTATTTTTAGGCTCTGGCCCATAAAATGGCCTTCAAAAACAAAAATAGCTCTGGGCCCCAAGAAGTCTTAATCAGCCACTGATTTTAAAGATTTGTTTTGAGAATGATAAAAACAACCAAAAATAATTTTCAGAAACACTAATATTTTCACTGAAAATTACTTCTAGATGTTTTCCCCATAACCAAGTTGAGTAATAAGTTCTGTAAAAAAGCAAAATCCCCTGTCATTCCGCAATTTTTTAGGCCTATTAGCTTCAAAATTTAAAATCAAAAAGTCTTTCTCGGATGTAATAGTTTGATTTTCAAATTTATATCTAAATGTTCTACTATATATTGGCTATCATCCCCCAAAAAGGTTTTCTGGGGACATGAGTTTAAGGTTGATTATGGTTTGTGTACACAGTGGTCTTTTTATAATTAACCTTGCATCATTGATAAAATCATACTGAAATGCAGGGTTTGTGTGTGAAAGCACAATTTATTTTATGTGAGAAAAATGTAAAAAAAATCCAAGCTTTAACAAACTTGATCACCCTTGTGATACGAGCTTTACCATTAGTTACTAATATTTAAAGTTCACTTTTTTAGGAGTTTCATCAGCCTGTCCTATACATGAGTTTAATGGGTCATTTTTGGGGGAAAATATTAAATTTAAAATGACATCTGTTTGTGGTCATGTTATGTCATTAGATTTTAAAGGATATTTCAACAATTGGGATGCTGTAGAACCGGTAATGTTTTTTTTCTTTTTTTATAACAGTTTCTGACACTTAATATTACTTGATCATTTTTAAAAATGTGTATGTTAATTTATGTTAATTATGTGCATTTTAAATTATTTTAGTTATTTGCTTACTTGATTATTTAAAAATGTTTTAAGTGTATGTTAATTTATGTTAAATATGTGTATGTTAAATTGTTTAAAGTATTTAACCTTTATTAATATGTTTATTTTTATATTCAAGTTTTTTTTTACTTTTTGTTGTAATACTTTGATATTTTTTGTACTTAAAAAAAGGCTTGTATTAAAACAGATTGAATTGTTTTCTGCTGCTACTCAAAAGATTGAAGCACAGGAAAAGCTCAATATAGTGAAGCATTTAAAAGTTGCGGTAAAAATTATTTTTTGTGAAGTCATTAATTTTATGAAGTTTAACTTATTTTTCTTTCTTAACATTTTTTAATAATTATAATATATATTTTTAATACTGTTTTGTATGGTATAGATAATGCTTTGTTTATATAAACCCTGATAAAATAGGGTTAAATTAATAATTTAATACTTCATTATCATTGTTAATTTTAAAGTTTTGTAAAATTCTATATTTATTATTTTATTTAACATTAGTAACTAACAATAATATGGTAAATATATAACATTTATAATGATTATTAAACTTGAAAATATATAAATTTTTTGTTTTTACTAATTATATATTTATAATTGTATAATATATATATATAAATATATATATACATATCAACCCTAGGTATTAGGGTTGGCAATGCCAGCCTAACTGCTGACCTAAAATTATTTGCTGTTGGTAAAAAATTGCCGACCTCATTTCAATGTTTTATGGTGATACCTTTGTATCAAATTTTTTTTGCCAACCTGATGCCGACCTCTAAAAGATTGAGACCTCTAAAAGATAAAAGATATATATATATATATATATATATATATATATATATATATATATATATATATATATATATATATGTATATATATATATATATATGTATATATTTCTTTTATATTTTAGTATTAGTATGAGTTTATTTTATATTTTAGTATTATTATATATTTTATTTTAGTATTATTATATATTTTAATTTATATCAGGGGTGTGGAGTTGTAAAAAATAAGTAACGACTCCGACTCCAGTTGTTGAAATTTTTTGAGTACAACTCCAACTCCAAAGCAAAATGAAAAATTCTTTGAATTCTTTAAAAAATAATGCCCGATAAGTTGAAATTTTTTTTTGGCAAATTTATGAAACATTCTTTGATGTTTAGTATGAACATAAGGTTAATTGAATGTTTTGTACATGCACTTGCAATACCAAGAAATTTTACTATCGGAGTCGGAGTCGCGATATTTTTTAGCGACTCTGACTCCGGTAAAATTGTCGCAACTCTGCGACTCCACAGCCCTGATTTATATAGTTTATTTTATATTTTAGTATTAGTATATATTTCTTTTACATTTTAGTATTAGTATGAATATATTTTAGTATTAGTATGAATATCTGTTGCACTAAATGTGCTGCAGATTTTCATACTAATCCTAATAATACATATATATAATGTTAATAATACATATATATGTATATCATTTATCATTTATCATTAAATAATACATATATATGTATATCATTTATCATTTATCATTAAATAATACATATATATGTATATCATTTATCATTTATCATTAAAATCTTGCACTTCTCCTACATTTTTTTCTATCATTGGATGTCCTTATCGAACTTTTAGAACTTTTTACAAATAATTTTTACAAGTGTTTTAGGAGAAAGTGATGCAACCTTATGATGAAGAGACAAATGTTTTAGGACAAAGTGATGCAACCTTATGATGAAGATGCAGCCTTATAATGTAGAGACAAATGTTTTAGGACAAAGTGATGCAACCTTATGATGAAGATGCAACCTTATGATGAAGAGACAAATGTTTTAGGAGAAAGTCATGCAACCTTATGATAAAGAGACAAAAGTTTTAGGAGAAAGTGATGCAACCTTAATATGAAGAGACCAATGGAAACATCTAAAACAAAGACTTAAACTGTTAAGTTTAAGTCTTTGTTTTAGTCAAAGTTTACATTTTTTATCCTTGTCTGAATCATTATAAAAAAAACCAAACCAAGTATGGTAACAGTATTTCATACAATAATGTATTAGAAATTTCTACAGCTGGTAGAGTAGGTAGATTTATAAGAGAGGTAGAGAACAGAATCAGAAGTAAGAAAATGGTTTATGCAATAATGAGATGATGCATAGTTGATTAACACATGACTTTGTGTTAAATTAAAAATATGATTTCTATTGGAGATCAGTATTGAAAGAAAATGCAAAAAACCATCAAGAAGAGATTTATAATAATCTTAAATGTGTTTTTTATTTTGTTTCAACTGGGGGAGGGGGTATTACTAATGTATTTAAAAAAGTTGTTTAATACAACAATTATTGCAAGTTTTTATGATTGAATTTCAAACTGTTATGCTAAAAATATACATAAATAAAAAATACACATAATTACAAAATTTGTTTATCTTTTTTCAAAATCATTATTAATATGTTCAAAAATTTTATTCTTTAAAATGTGTTAAAATTTGTGTGTTATTTTTTTATGTAATCAAACTAAAAACTGTTATTTTTAATGCATAAAAAAAATTTTCTGCAAATTTTTTAAAAATTTAGAAATTTGTTAAATAGTTTTTTATGTTGGTTTTTATTATTAGGGCAAAGAAGTTGATTTTTTAGTTTTATGGCTGGATTGTGATAAGGAAGGAGAGAACATTTGTTTTGAGGTCTACTTTTTAATTTTTGTTTGTTTTATTGTATTTTATTTAAAAATGTTTAAAATTATGTATTAAAAGAAAACTTTTAAAATTGTATCCTTAAATAAAGCTTATAAAATTGTATTCGAAAAAATATTTTTTTATTAGTACTTGTAAGTTAATTGATATTTTTTAAATAACATTTTATTTTGTATTTTTTGGCAATAAATAATAAATTGCATATATGTACCTCTAAATAACTGCATAGTTGTTAATTATAGTTTTATTAGAAATTAAGTAAAAAAATTGTAATAAAAAATAAAAACATAAGAAATGTTCTAATGTTGTCAATGTTTACTTTTTTAGGTTATAGATTGTTTAATTTCTATTTTTTTAGGTTATAGATTGTGTAAAGCCTTTTATGAAGCAAAGTAACAAACAGGTTTTTAAATTAAATTTCTTTGTTTCTAAATATATTAATATTATTGTTACATTAAGCATTATTATAATAATATTTGTGTTATAGAGGATTAGATTTGGTCTATGACCAATAAACATTTTATCAGCTAAACACAATTTGACAAAATGAATTTTAGAAGTTTTTTACTTATGATGTCATCTTAATACATTACAGATCATTATATGTGCTTTACTTATTGTTTCTGAATAATCATTTAATTGTTGCAATTTCTGTTGCTCTAACAAAAGTTAATTGAGCCAATAAAAATAAAGTTTTGTAAAACCAGAATTTCACTAAAAATAATTGTTACAAATAATTGAAAAAATTTGTAAAAATAGAAAAAGTTATTTTCCATTCTTTTGACAAAAAGTATTTTCTGTTTCTTTTACTTTTTATTATATAATAAAATACAAAAATACAAAAATTTTAAAAAATTTAAACATTTTGTGAAATTTTTAATACTTTTTCTCACATCAAATCTTCATTTATTTGATGTGAATTTTTTTTTTAAAGATGATTTATCGAGCGCATTTTTCTGCAATTACTGATAAAGACATAAAAAATGCAATGCATAATCTTAAAGATCCAAACAAAAATGAATCTCTTTCAGTAGATGCAAGACAAGAATTAGATCTTCGTGTTGGATGTGCGTTTACAAGATTCCAGACAAAGTATTTTCAGGTACACTTTATTTGAATTTTTTGTTTTGTATTAACTTAAAACAAATCAAATTTTTTTTTGTAAAAATAAGTCCAACATTTTTACCATTAAATAGTTTTAACAGCAAATCATTAATCTACTCTGAAAAACAAATTTTTTTAAATTAAATCATTTTGATATAATTTTTATTGTTTTAAAACAAGTAATTTTAAAACACCTATATGGTGGTCTGGTTAACAAAGTTGTTGAAATGTTTCTACAAGTTTCAAGTTTAAGCTAATTTTTTTTTTTTTTTTTTTTTAATTTTAAATTTTTTTCTTTAATTTTTTTTTTTTTTTGGCTAAATAATTCAAATAAGAAATTATGTAAGTAAATTGTCTGAAGTAAAAGCTAATAAGAAATTTTTGATTTCAACATTTTTACTGTTTATGGAAAGGTAAAATATAAGGTTTAGGGCCATTATTGAAATATTTTAATACTGGAAACAAACAAACTTTTTACTTATGAATAAAAAAGACATTTTTGAATTGTAAAAATTTAACATATTTGTTTTAACTGTTTTATAAAGGATACCCTGTCATGTTTGTCACCAGGCTACCCTGTCATGTTTGTCACCAGGCTACCCTGTCATGTTTGTCACCAGGCTACCCTGTCATGTTTTATGTATTATAGTAATAGTTTAATTTTGTACTTGGATTAAAAAAGATTTATAAAACATTAATTAATTATATAAAAAGAGCTTAAATTCTATTTTTTTTTTTTTAATATGTAACAGTAATAGTAAACATGATTAAAAAACAAAATATTGAAGTTGAAAAATATAATTTTTAGATTTTAAGAATTAACTATTGGAATCTCTCCTTTACTACACTAATGGGGAAAAATAATCATTGTAGGGTCTTCCATATTTAAAAAATTTGCATCTTAAAGATATTGTTAAAATTGGTACTTTTTGGATAAATAAACTCAAGCCGATAAAATGTTGAAATATATATTAAATTATAAAAACAGAAAAACCATACAACATTTAACGCCGCTATAGATACCTAGATCGAATGTTGCTAACCAATCAAAAAACAGGTTTTAAATAAAATAAACGATAATTATGATATATATTAATTATATATATATGATATACTATGATAATTATTAATTATTATAATCGTGTGTCATCTCCAAACACTTCATTAAACTAGTCATTATTACAAACTTTATGCTAAACCTGAAGTTCTGCAAATAGAACGCAAAAAGGTACAGAGGGTGAGGTCCAATATAAAAATGCAGTATAATATAAGTACAGGGGGTGAGGTCCAATATAAAAATGCAGTATAACATAAGTACAGGGGGTGAGGTCCAATATAAAAATGCAGTATAATATAAGTACAGGGGGTGAGGTCCAATATAAAAATGCAGTATAACATAAGTACAGGGGGTGAGGTCCAATATAAAAATGCAGTATAATATAAGTACAGGGGGTGAGGTCCAATATAAAAATGCAGTATAACATAAGTACAGGGGGTGAGGTACAATATAAAAATGCAGTATAACATAAGTACAGGGGGGTGAGGTACAAAAATACTTTTGCACTAATTAAAAAAAAAAATTCTGTTTAAGTACTCCAAAGTTTACAATTGTTAATATATTGTTAATATTATATCACAATTTACAATCGTTAATATATGTTTTTGAGTAAATAATTACTTTTAAAAAAAACAAAAACTGAATGTCTCTATAAGATGATAGTTAGTGTTTGTATTTTATTTAAGCTATGTTCAACATGGGATATGCAAAAAAGCATAAATTAAAGTGTTGAGGGTAGTGGTAGGATCAGTTATAAAAGTATACATACTCTAATTTAAATTTATTTTTCAAATTAGAGCATGGTATTTATTAAAGGGGGGCGTTTCAAAAGAGTACTTACTTTTTAGGGATAAGGCCTAAAAAGTATGTATGGAAACAGGGGAAGAGGGGTGGGTCAAATTTTCAAATTTTCAGCATATATACTTTATGGATGACAAGTTTGATATATATATATATATATATATATATATATATATATATATATATATATATATATATATATATATATATATATATATATATATATATATATATATATATATATATATATATATATATATATTTGTGTTAGGGCAGCTATATATTTTTTATTGTCTGTATGGATGGTATGGGTTTAGTTGGCAAAAAGAGTCAGCAAATGCAGATGCTCTATAGTGTTTGTTTGTGTATATATGTATATATACTAAAATATATATATACATATATATATATATATATATATATATATATATATATATATATATATATATATATATATATATATATACATATATATATATATATATATATATATATATATATATTTATATATATATATATATATATATATATATATATATTTATATATATATATATATATATATATATATATATATATATATATATAAATATATATATATATATATATATATATATATATATATATATATATATATATATATATATATATATATATATATATATATATATATATATATATATATGTATGTATATTCAGAGTTTATATTTTTAGGGAAAATATGGCAACTTAGACAGTTCATTGATTTCTTATGGCCCATGTCAAACACCTACTCTTGCATTTTGTGTTGCAAGACATGACATAATTCAATCTTTTCAACCTGAAACATATTGGAAAATACAAGCTTCAGTAACAATTTTAATGAAAATAAAACAAAAAAATATAAAATTTATTTTTTTATTTTTAATTTTTGTTGCATTTTACTTTTTTATTTTAGTTAAAACCAAATATTATATTGGATTGGGAAAGAGTGAGAATATTTGATAGAGAAATTGCTAATTTGTTTTTTAATCTTGTAAAAGGAGCAAAAGAAGCAACCGTTGTATCCATTCAAGAAGTAGAAAAGAAAAAAGCTCCTCCTATTGCGTTGAATACAGTTGAGTTGCTTCGTGTAGCATCTTCAGGACTTGGTATAGGTCCTCAGCAAACAATGCACATTGCTGAAAAACTTTACACTCAGGTTAGTTCTAAATAAATGGTTTTTAAATGCGTAGCTAATAAATCTCCTTTTTTTTTTGTGAATTGACTTATTCTAATACTTTTATATTTTGTATTTTATTGTTTTTTTAATTTTGATTTTAGTTTTTTGTAACAATGACTACTAAGCATATTAAAAAAAGTTAAATTTTATTAAAATAAATTTAAAAGTTAAATATTTGTTATCCAAGGTTAGAATGATAAAAAAATTAAATATCTTTCATATGCAGTGTCTCTTTTTTAGTCAAAATATAAGGCAATGTCGAATGGGATATTTTTGGTTATATGGATATTGAGTAGATAGCATTAACTATAAAGTTTTTTCATGACATGTGCTGGGTTGGTGCAACTTGAAGTTATGGTATTTTGGAAAAAAAAATCAATTATTAATTATTTTGCTTTTTTCCGCAGCCATATGAGAACAGAGCTAATTTTTAGGTCATCTCTTTGCCAAATCAACTTGCACAATTTTTTTTTAACTTTTCAATTTTTGTTTATTTTTTATGCAAATTTCAGGCAACTTATAACCTTTTTTGGAATGAAGCAATCATATACATCTTGTTTAAAACATACAAATTTTCAAAATGATTTTGGTGTAAGAAATAGCTGAATTCATTACTCACTTTTTTTGCTTACCTTAATCAATACAGCTTTTTTAGAAAAAGAAGAAAAAAAACAAGAATGATGAATGAAACGATTGCTGCCCCATCCCAAACCCTCAGTCGATGTAGCAGCACTCCACTGTGAATCAGGCTATTTGTCAGTCGATGTATGTACTGAAGCCCCTGGCAGCAGACTATTTCAGTATGTCATCAGATTGCTTACCTTAGTACGCAATACTATATATATATATATATATATATATATATATATATATATATATATATATATATATATATATATATATATATATATATATATTCACATAAAACATGATAAAAAGGTTTGCTGTAATATTAGTTTTTGTATAATAAATAGGGCTTCATCAGTTACCCACGAACAGAAACTACTAATTATCCCAAGAGTTTTGATTTGATTGGTCCACTCAAGCTACAATGTGGTAATCGTAGTTTTGGAGAATATGTATCCCAGCTTCTATCAAAAGGAATTAACAAGCCACGAAAAGGACTTGACGCAGGAGATCATCCTCCAATTACCCCAATGCGCTTAGCATCACCAAATGATTTATCATCTGATATGTGGAAAGTGTATGACTATATAGTTAAACACTTTATAAGTACAGTAAGTTTTTTTTTTTACATCAAATTTGGTGAGTTTTGCTATAAAACTTGCTATAACATTCTTTGCATGCGTTCAAATTTTGCACTACCAATATTTAATTTATCAAATTGTTAAAGCTAATGCTTTTAACAAATTAAATTTTGAGTTCTGAATTTTTTGGGTTCTTCTTGTTCTTTTTTTTTTTTATGGATTAATACGTTGTATTTGAAAAATATTGTATTTTAATTTTGAGGCTTTGACAAGGTTACCATGACCTTTATTTATTTATTTTTTTTTAAATAGTTTTAACTTTTTGAAAATATTTATTAATTTTTTTCTGATAGCACAGTGTTATCAAAACAAATAAATTTAAAGATTCTTCATTCTTGCCACTGATGCTTTTTAAGATGCGACACTTTTAATTTACTTCTTATTCTGTAACATGGACAGCACTCTTCTTCTTATTCTGTAACCTCAGGGGTTCCTCAAGGTTCAATTCTTGGCCCTATACTCTTTTTAATATACATTAACGATCTTCCAGATATTCTCACATCTAAGGTGGCATTGTTCGCTGATGATACTACCATTTATTCTTGTCACGATAAGAAGCCAATTCCCTCTGATTGCTTGCAGGGGGCATCTGAGCTTGAAAAGGATCTCATTTCTGCTACAGCATGTGGCTCACAGTGGCTGGTGAACTTTAATTCAGATAAAACTCAATTTTTTTCAGCCAATTGTTATCGCAATAATTTAGACCTTCCTATATTTATAAACGGTAATGTACTCGATGAGTCATCTACCCTTCATCTTCTAGGATTAACTCTCACTTCTGATCTTTCTTGAAAACCTTATATCAAATCCATTGCAAAATTAGCATCTGCTAAAGTTGCATCTATTTATCGAGTTCGACTCTTTCTTACTCTGGATTCTATTCTCTATCTCTATAAATCTCAAATCCGACCTTGTATAGAATACTGTTGCCATATCTGGGGCGGATCTTCTAATGATGCCCTTTCTCTTTTAGACAAGGTGCAAAAACACATTGTAAACATAGTTGGACCTGCTCTCGCAGCCAACCTTCAACCTCTGTCACATCGTCGTAATGTTGCTTTTCTTTCTCTTTTCTACAAATACTATAATGGGCACTGCTCTAAAGAGCTAGCGTCTCTTGTGCCATCTACTAAAATTCATTCTCATGTTACTCGTCATTCAATTAAGTCTCATCCTTTTTCTGTTACTGTTCCTAAGTGCTCCAAAAACTCTTATTTGTCTAGTTTTTTCCTCGAACATCATTTCTTTGGATTTCGCTTCCTTCATCTTGCTTTCCTTATTTATATAATTTGCAATGTTTTAAGTCGTCTGTCAATCGTTATCTTGCTCTACAATCTTCATCTTTTTTCTTCCAGTAACTTCCAACACTAATTAGTGGTTGCTTGCAGCCTTGTTGGAAGTGAAGATGTTAAAAAAAAAAAAAAAAATTTTATTATCCACAAATCACAAATTTTTATACATTTGTTTCTTTATTGAATTTAAATTTGGTTTTTGTGAAATCTATTGTTTTGGAATTTTCATGATAATCCAATTATTATGTTGCAGTAAAAGTAAAGTTTTACTTTTTAAAAAACATTAATCATTAATATTTTTAAAACATTAATCATTAATATTTTTAAAACATTAATCATTAATATTTTTAAAACATTAATCATTAATATTTTTAAAACATTAATCATTAATATTTTTAAAACATTAATCATTAATATTTTTAAAACATTAATCATTAATATTTTTAAAACATTAATCATTAATATTTTTAAAACATTAATCATTAATATTTTTAAAACATTAATCATTAATATTTTTAAAACATTAATCATTAATATTTTTAAAACATTAATCATTAATATTTTTAAAACATTAATCATTAATATTTTAAAATAAAACATTAATCATTAATATTTTAAAATAAAACATTAATCATTAAAATTTTAAAATAAAACTTCTTTTTATGGATTAATTTCTATTTGTTAAAAATATATTTATTTTTACAATATTTGAAGGGAATATTGATACCCTCGTTATTAAGTATAGTCAAAATCATTAGTCATTAATATGTTATACATCTTATTTATATATTTATTTATATTTTTCCTTGTAAGTTAAACCAGGAAAAAAAGTTTTTTAGAGTATCTAAAAACTTTTGAAACATAAAAATTCTTTTTTTAGTTTTGCAGAATTTCTGTAGAGTGACCATTATTTTCTAAAAAAATTGCTATAGAACCTTTTTTTCTACATTTATATTATGAAAAAAAAGTTTTATAGCAATTTTTAAAGAAATTGTTTGATATTCTATAGAAATTCTATAATTCTATAGTCTAAAGAATTGTTATAGGTCATACATTTCAAAAGTTTATAGAAATTCTATAGAAATTTTTTCCAGGGAAGACTTGAACTTTTTTTACATGAACTTTTTTTACATGGAATAAATGAAAGTAAAGGCAGAGATGTCTCAACACAAATGATTTATTTGTAGAATACATTTAATAGTTTAACTAATAATAATTACTAATAATAAGTTGCAACTTATTCACTGTATCGCTCATATCAAAAATCAAAGTTTTATTAATGATCAAATAAATTTTATTTAATAAATTATTAATAATAGTATCTTTATATGGTATTATTATTTTTTTTGTTTTGTTTTAGTTTTATAATCATTTAAAAAAAAAAATTATTAACAACAATTAAAATTTTTTTTTAATTGACAATCAAATTTAAAGATTTAAAAGAAACTTAATTGTCAATATTTTTGGTGTACTAAAATTTGCACAAAAAGTCATTAATAAACATATATTAAAATATAAAACCCTAGACGAAAGCACTTATCTTGCATTCCAGTAACTGGTAAAGTTACTGGAATAAATTGATAGAATTTAAACTTAATTAAAAAGAATTCATTAAGTTTAAAAACTTTTTTAAAACAAAGAAAGCTTAAAAAATATGTTCAAAAACATGAAATAATGGATGGGTCTCATGTTTTAAAAAAAAGTAAAAAAAAATAACATTACTTTTAATTATGATAGTAAAAAAAATCTGATAAATCAACAGGAGTGTTGATAGAAGTTAATGTGATAGGTGTTTTGAAATAATTATTTTTCTTTGCAAAAATTGTTATAATGATCAATGTAAAACTGATCATTGTCATCAGTTTTTTATACTTTTTAAAATTTATACTTTTTATAATTATACATTTATAATCACACAAGCAACACCAATTAACTGTTCTCATGTAAGCGATTGAGCATCTGGGACTAATCCAATCAACACCACTAGGACAATATGAACAAACAGGCACTTCTATCCAAGCAATGTTTTCTGAGTTTTGAATCTTTAGGTGGATGATATGTTTTCAAAAGTTTTGTTTTATTTTTTATTTTTTATTTTTTTTATTTTTTTGCATTTTGTTCTTTTAGAGACTCAGTAGCTTTTTTTTTTTTTTAATTCTAAATAAAATTTTTTGATTTGACATTTTTTTAATGGTGTTTTAGGAGTTTTAAGTATATTGGTTTCAGGCTGAAATAAACTTTAACAGCTGGAAATAAACTGCTAAAGATTAAAAATAAAAAGCCTTTATGAGCGTTTCAGAATTAAATGATTTTTTTTTATAGATAAGTTCCTTAAACAAAACAGGAAACATCTATTTGTCAATGACTGAAATTTATCTCCAGTTAAAAAACTATCTTCCATTTGTTTTTTAACTGTTTTAAAGACACCTTTGTCTAAATGCTGTAAAAAATAACTTGTATGAGCAGGCAAGTTATTTTTGGCTGTGTAGCCACTGCACTAATAGCTTGCATGCCACTAGCTTTTCTTCCTCTAATTTCATTTTAATATTTTTTATGAATTTGCTGTACCATTTTTTAGTTTGTCTGTCATCTTTGAATAAGTAAGTTTTGATTCATTCAAAGAGTTTTCGATAACGTCACTTTTCTTCAAACGTCATAACGTCACTTTTCTTCAAACCAAAAATCAAAGTCTCATAAATTATAAAAGATCAACAGTAATTACCTTGACAGTTTGTCTCATTTTTCTTGGTGCACCAGCTCCAAATATTTCATATTTGTCTTTTTCTCTGTCATGAATAGTTTCATTTTAGCATATTTACATCTAGAACATTTAGAAACTTCTTCATATGACATTGTTTTGTCATATGAAGAAGTGTTTTTTAGTGTGTTGATATGTGTGTTTTTTAATGTGTAAATGTACTTGTTTTTTAGTGTGTTAATTGTGTGTTATTTTTTTCAAAATTTATTACATAGTGAATTTTTTTTATTGTTAACTTTAATTATAAAATAAAAAAATAAAAAATAATAAGAAAACTAATAAATAAGAAAAGAAATATTTTTACCTAATTTTTAACTAGTTCATGTGAAGCAAAAAAATAAAAATCTGGAAAATTAATGAAACAAAACTATCCATTAAAATTAATGAAACAAAACTATCCATTAAAATTAATGAAACAAAACTATCCATTAAAATTAATGAAACAAAACTATCCATTAAAATTAATGAAACAAAACTATCCATTAAAATTAATGAAACAAAACTATCCATTAAAATTAATGAAACAAAACTATCCATTAAATAAAAAGTAATGTGACAGCTGTTACAGCCAATACATCAAACATTTCTCTTGTATGCCTGCAATTTATATTTACTCATTTTTTTACAAAGTTTTTACAAATTTTATAATAAAAACATTAAATAAGGTAAATTATTTGAAGCAAGCTACTTCCTGGCAGGAGGTTGCTCCAGATTTTTAAAATAATTATTATTAAAGTAATTATTGTTAAAGTTTATCTTAACCTAAAAGACAAAAAGAAAATGGACGAAAATCTCAGTTTAACACTCCAAAGGTTTGAATTTAAAAAATTTTTAATTACAAAATTGACTAAAAAAAAGTAGTCGCGATTAAAACCATTATTTTAAAATATCTATCTGTCAATAATATACCACTATATCTGTAAATAATATGTCATATCTGTCTATAATACACTCCTATATCTGTCAATAATATTTCTCTATTTTGGTGGACACTTAAGAAAACTTTTTTTAGTTTTTTTTTTATTTTAAAATTATGAGCTATTTAAAAATTAGGGCTAGTATTTTACACTTCTTCATAAGAATTGGATCAGTTCATACCTTGCTCCAACTTATACCCATCAGTCTGTGGTGATTTCAGTGAAATCTTTTGTTGTACTGCAAAAAAAGTTTCAAGAAAAAAACATTTCATGACAAAAAAAGTTTCAAGAAAAAATGTTTCATGAGAAAAAAGTTTCAAGAAAAAATGTTTTAGGACAAAAAAAGTTTCAAGAAAAAATATTTCATGACAAAAAAAGTTTTTTCAAATGCAGTTAATATCTTCAAATGTAAATCTAAAGGTTCTCTGCCATAAAATAAGTGAAAATTTTAATTTTTTGATTTTAGTAAAATATTTACAGAAATTTTACCAGGAATCCAAAAAATAGATGTCAAATAGAAATAGAAGTTCAAAAACTTTTTAAGTATTTTGGGTTTTCTTAGGACAATTTTCTCAAAATACTTTTTGTAATTTGAAATAGTTTACTGAAACAAATGTTTTTGTCTGATGTATATTTATAGAATCGTCTGATATAAACTAAAGAGTTTTATTTATTAAATTTTTTTTATTATAGTTTTTTATATAATTGGTTTTTTTTATCTTTATCTTTGTTTGCACTTTTTCAAACTACTTGTTATGCTCACATTTAATCATGTGGTAGTGGTGGAGTAGTAGAGTGCTCGTCTCATAAGCAAGAAGTTCTGATTTCGATCCCCACCATATCTTAAGTAGTACAAGGCTCAATTTATTTCTCTGTGCAGTAGCCTTGTTTGTAAGGTTTGTGTTTCGGAGTTATAGAGTTGAGAGAAACTTGTAACCACAACTAAAGTAGCCTCCTCGACTGTAGTAGCTTTCATGGCCTTGGGGAGGTGAATTAAAATTAAAATAAATTTTTTTTAATGTTGTTGACAAATTTATTGTTTTCCCAAAAGTTTAATGGGTTTTAAAATAGTATAAAGTAAAATGTTTACTGAAAAAAGCAAGAATGTCAGATAAATAATGGCTTATTTTGCAAAATTGTTTCTAAAAAAAGACGCTAAAAATTGTCCTTTTATAAACATTCTTTTCAGTCTTTTATGAATCATGAATGAAATTATATAGTAGAATCAATGAATGAAATTTTATAGTAGAATCAATGAATGAAATTATATAGTAGAATCATCGAATGAAATTATATAGTAGAATCAATAAATAAAATTATATAGTAGAATCAATGAATGAAATTATATATTTGTGCAAATGTTGGCAGTGAACAATAAATTTTTTTTTTTTGTAAGAGTTATGTAAGGTTTTTGATGTTGAATAGCTCCTTTTTTTTTGTTGGCAGTGAACAATAAATTTTTTTTTTTTGTAAGAGTTATGTAAGGTTTTTGATGTTAAATAGCTCCTTTTTTTTAAATAAAAATAAAAGTTGTTTCTTATTTATAAATACAGTAAATAATAAATATTCTGTCATGTTCTGGTGAAAAATTATATGTACTACTGATAAAAGTGCCCATTCCCCCTCCTCACTTCTTTATTTTAAAAATAATTAGGTATTTTTTCCGTATATTTCTTAAAATTTATATTCTAGATTTTTTTCTAATATTTTATGGAATCTATTTTCTGGATTTTTACCTGGATGATAATTAGTTATATAATCCTCTAAAAATAAAACTTTTATATTTAATAAAAACTGTTTTAAAAAACTTATAAGTGCAAATTAAAATCAACACAAACTAAGAAATTTAAACAACCAAATAAAAAATAACCTTAATTATTTTAAAGTCTTTAATATATTTTAAAATTAATTTTCATTAAATTACTTATTAGGTTAGTTATGAATGTTGTTATAAAGTGAAAACCATTACCTTTTCCATTAATAAAGAAGTTTTCAGTTGTACAGGAAAAACTGTAATAGATCCAGGTTTCACATATGTAATGGATTGGCAAGCAATACCTAAAGAAGAAAGCTTACCTTCTTTTGAAATAAATCAATCTCTTGAAACAAAAGATGTAAGTTTTTTTTTATTTGAAATAGATTAATTTAAAAAAAAAATTATGTTATTAAGTTTTTATTTTGATTGAATTTGTTGTTCTTTAATTATATTACTTTTTGTATATAAAAAAATTTATTTTTCAATCTTTGATTTTAAGTTGAAACTTGTAGAATGCTTAACAACACCTCCAGATTATTTAACAGAATCTGAACTTATTTCATTAATGGAAAAACATGGTATTGGTACTGATGCAAGTATATCAGTACATATTAACAATATATGCCAACGAAATTATGTTACTGTAACCACTGGAAGAAAATTAATTCCAACTCCTCTAGGAATTGTATTAGTACATGGATATCATAAGGTTTGTTATATTACTTAATTAATGTTGGTTTTTATATGTCATATATTGTATTAGTTGTTCTTACAGAATGACACAATTGTTAAATGCAATTAGTAGATGTGTTTGTTATGATGTGTAATTATAATATGTGTTTATTACGATACTGTATTTATATTTTGATTTACTTACAATAAATTACATTAAAGGGATCCCAAACCTCTGAGATATGTTGTGTATTAAAGAGAATGATGAAAAAAAATGTTAGGACTAAATTTTTTTAGAAAAGTTTTAGTGCATGATGTCATTGACTTTTTTGTTTGTTTACATAATTGATTTCTTACTCAAACAATAAAAAATCAATGACATTTTGTACTGAAACTCTTACAAATAAAACGGGCTTGAATAAATTATCAAGTCTGTAAATTGGAGCATATATTATGCTGACTTTTAGGCCTACAATAAAACGGAGAAGGCAAGCTTCGACTAAAATTAAAGAGTTAGATTTTCTTGGTGTTTATTTATTCTTTTTTTTTAACATTCTCTTTAACATGAACACAACATGTCTTGGAGGTTTTGGATCCCTTTAACTCTATTTTGTAAACATCATAAACACTTTTTTTTTCCTCTATGAATCCTCTCTCAATGATTTGATAAAAGAATTTGTTGGACTGCAGAGTACCAAAAATAATCAACTATTAAACAAACAACAAGAAAAGACTTTTACA